CGGTACCCGCCTTCTTCGTTTTCGAGACGTACCCCCTCGTGGGTATATATCTTCCATACCTGCAACGTGTATTACGTGCAGTCGCCAAAATAGGGAAAGAGGAGACGGATGGAAGAAAGGGGCACGGGGGAGGGGATAGGATGGAGCACGACAGGGAGTAGCAGGACGGGGGCTACGAGGAAAAAAAAACGGGGCTGAACTACACGGTCAGATCGGGCGGATACGCCCAGGCGGCCAGGTCGAGCAGGCGGGTTACTGAAGCGTGCGTACTGCATGAGTCGCGGGGAGGTCTCGAGCGATAGCCGATAGCGCGATTTCCGCATAAATCGCCAGGAAATCCGCAGCGAGAGCGTGATCCCTGCGTGTCGAGGGCGCGGCGCCTGAATACGTTGTGAAAAAGTCCCGCGCGAAAGCGCGATTCATGTATAATTTGTAAGCGCAGTTTGGGAATAACATGTGAGGAGGTCTCAGGCGGGAGTCGTTTAACTTTCACTACTGAAGAATAATTACTGTTGATCCCCCCTCCGGTGCACATTATGCTTTTCGCTTGAAGTGCCCCTTCCGGCGCTCGCACCCTGTTGTTTACAAGGAAAAAATCTTCTTCGTCAAACTGGGCCCCCGACCCCGGGTTACAACAACGGCTCCTGCTTGAGACTTCCTCACAATGTAGCCAGGACCCCAGCTCCCGATTGAGACTTCTTTGCGCTTCATAGAAGAATCCGCTTGGGACTTCCCACAATTCATTATGTAATCCTTTTCTCGGCGCTCTGGAGTCGCGCTCTCGCTGGAGACTCGCTTGCAATCTACTCAAGCATAGCGCCCTTGCGTTGGAATTTCCCGCAATATACTCAAGCCCATCCAGAAACGATGCCCAGGCGAATGGAGGTGATCAGGGAAGTGAGGGAGCATACAGAGTAACACAGGGCCGGGGAACCCGTCTTACCGAAGACGGCGAGGATGGAGGAGGAATCGGAGAAGGATGAGGAGGAGGAGGAGGAACTGAAGGAGGAGGAGGGGGAGCGGGAGGAGAGAGGAGGGAGGAGGAGGAATAGGCGGATGAGGAGGAGGAGCAGGAGGAGGAGGAGGAGGAGAAGGGCGAGTAAAATGGCCAGAGGCTTCTTGGATGCCTCTCGGAGTCTCTTCGGATGTCGCTTGGGAGCGTCCTGAAGGCCTCTTGCCGTCTTCGGGCCATCTTGGGCCCCTCTTGGGGCCCTCTTGGGCCATCTTGGGCCATCTTGAGGCCTCGAGAAAGCAACACACATTGATTTTCCGTAGGTTTTCGAAGGATTTTGGCCTCTTGGAGGCCTCCTGGGAAAGCTAGTTGGCCTCTTGGAGCCGTCTTGGGGCGGTCTTCGGGCCTATTGGAGCATTTTCGGAGCCATCTTGAGGCATCTGAGGCTAGCTTGAGCAATCTTGGAGCTCATCTTGGGCTCCCCGAGGCGCTCTTGGAGCCATCTTGGGCCATCTTGGACGCTCCAACTACCAGCGAAACCTCCCGTCCAAGTCCAGGGGAGGGGGTAGGGGGATGGGTAAACCCCTCCCCGAAGGGGAAGAAAGGGGGTTGGAAGATGAAGCTCCCTAAACCACCTACCAGGCGAATGGAGGTGATCAGGGAGCATACAGAGTATCACAGGGCCAGGGAACCCGTCTTACCGAAGACGGCGAGGATGGAAGAGGAATCGGAGAAGGATGAGGAGGAGGAGGAGGAACTGAAGGAGGATGAGGGGGAGCGGGAGGAGGGAGGAGGGAGGAGGAGGAATAGGCGGATGAGGAGGAGGAGGAGGAGCAGGAGGAGGAGGATAAGGGCGAGCGAAGTGGCCAGAGGTTTCTTGGATGCCTCTCGGAGTCTCTTCGGATGTTTCTTGGGAGCGTCCTGAAGTCCTCTTAGGGCGTCTTGGGGGCGTCTTGGCGATCTCGGAGGCCTCTTGAAGCGGCTTGGGTGCCTCGGGGCGCCTCTTGAGGCCTCTTGGGGGTCTCTTGGGAGCCTCTTGGGGGCCTCTTGGGGGCCTCTTGGGGCCTCCTGGGCGCCTCTTGGTGCCCTCTTGGGGCGCTCTTGGGGGCCTTGGGGGCGCTCTTGGGGCCATCTTGGAGGAGATCGATCAAAGAAAGGGAGGGTCCGGATTCGCCCTGCCCCTCTAGAGCGCCTAACATCGCCTCTTGGGCCCCTCCTGGAGCGCTCTTGGGGCGCTCTTGGGCGCTCTTGGGGCCGTCTTGGGGCCATCTTGGGCCCCTCTTGGGGCCCTCTTGGGCCATCTTGGAGCCATTTTGAGGCCTCGAATGGCCGTCGGAAGCGAAAAGGCGAGAAAGCAAAACACATTGATTTTCCGTAGGTTTTCGAAGGATTTTGGCTTCTTGGAGGCCTCCTGGGAAAGCTAGTTGGCCTCTTGGAGCCGTCTTGGGGCGGTCTTCGGGCCTATTGGAGCATCTTCGGAGCCATCTTGAGGCATCTGAGGCTAGCTTGAGCAATCTTGGAGCTCATCTTGGGCTCCCCGAGGCGCTCTTGGAGCCATCTTGGGCTATCTTGGACGCTCCAACTACCAGCGAAACCTCCCGTCCAGGTCCAGGGGAGGGGGTAGGGGGAGGGGTAAACCCCTCCCCGAAGGGGAAGAAAGGGGGTTGGAAGAGGAAACTCCCTAAACCACCTACGCCCAGAGGGCTGGTGGGATTCTGTTTCCGCCCTGGTCCGAAATCCGGCTTATTAATCCAGTTTAATCCCGCTTAATCTGGCTTAATGCCGCTTAATCGGGCTTGATCCCGCTTAATCCGAGGCCCACTCCAGCGAAAACCTCCCAGTAGTTGCCTCCTAAATAAGGGTGAGTAGCGTTCTAAGGGTACCCCCCTTGCATCCTTGCCTCTCGGCCATTAGCCATGACCCTGCGTCCCTGCCGCGCATCTTTATGATCCGGTCGTGCTGTGGGTACGCCAAGCCAACGCCTAGTCCGGTCCGAAGCAGGTATCAGTCAAGGCACTGCTACAGTCGATGGTGCAGCTAAGGGTACCCACCGCTAGGGAAACGTCTACACCTAAATACAATGTGGCACTAGGTGTAGGTGATCGTTTTTGTTGTTCATTGTTTTGCCGATCGGCGCAGGCCCTCGCACCACCCCCTCCCGCCCCCATGGAGTAGATCTTGGCTGTACTTGGGCGCCTGTTTCGAGCAGGTGGAGTTCCCCCACAGGCCGCACTGTTGCAAGCGGTCTCACCAAGCTGAGGTCCATAGCCAGACACCCCCCCTCCCCCCCCTTCCGCCCAGTGTCGAAATGCCGGATGAGAAAACGCTCACTAGGGAGCTCGGAGAACGCACAAGCGAAGCGACGCCAATAAATTCCAGGTCGAATTGCGCAAGATGTGGTGCAGCCTTGACACGCGGAGGTCGGGCAATCCACGCAGGAGCACCATCGATCGCTCTCACACTTGTAGTGGGAGCTGAAGTTCTAGCGCCACTGTTCTTCATGTATGCCGATTCAGAGGAAGTGGCAAGCCAACGTTCCAATTCGCGAGCGGCACAGGCGTCAACACACACAATACGTGCCGATACGAGTAAGGTTGCCAGGAGCTACACATGGGCGCACATGTACATGTGTCAGTCATCGCGGCTGCGACTGTGCGATTGAAGAAGTTGACCTTATGTCTAGTGTGAACGTGGGTTTTGACTCGCGTTTACCGTTCACGGAGGTTTTATGGACTACGGTTATTTAGTACGTTACAGCGTCGTATGTTTTGCGGATGTACATTTGCAAATCTTTACGGGTGTGTTTGATTTAAATACGTGTTCAGATGCCAACGCATCGTTCAGCCAGGTTTCATTCTGTCAAAGTGGCCCACAAGCTAGCAGCTTCGTGCACAGCGTAACGCCGAGCTAAACCCAGGCCGAACCAACCACTTATTCCTGAGGCGATCTCAGACGAGCCGAGCTTCGATTGACGTGGCGCGACATGAGACATGATCAGCTGGGACAAGCTGGCCCAATCTGATCTGATCGGCACTGATAAATAATGAACATTGAGCTGTCCTGCGCCAGCATGCGCGTGCCTGAACCAACACGAGCTGAAGTTGCTCAAACCATGGACACACAAAGGTAGCTTCTAATGTTGTAAGTCTGTGTGGGAGTCGCACTGGCGTAGTCTTGTAGGCATCGGCTGATGGCCGCGGATAAGCAGAGGCATGGGCTCAGAAGAATTGTCCATTTCCATCAACGCAGGCAATCGCATGGGCACAGACATACGAACTGTCAAAACCAATGACATATGAGTATCCAGACGCCGTAGAGGCTACTGGTAAGATTGACGTGAACCCCGTCCAACCAACATTTGACAAAACCCACAGTATCTGGGTGCCGCGCAGACATGTAGAATTGCCGTTCCGTACTCTGCCACTGCGGAGCTACATTCAGAAGCGGCATCCAGGTTGCTATCCGCACCACTTCATCTGAGCAGCATTGGCTCCAGAACCCAGGCTGCCAGTGATCCCAGAGCGACTCCAACGCCAGATTCGTCCTTCCTCCTTGCTGAGCGTCCGAACTACTGGAAATGCGGATTTTGTTCGCTCCGGCGTCCCGAGGGTGAGACAAGGACGGGCGAGATGGCGATTGCGACCCGGCCCGTGCCTGTCTGGGTTTGGGATCCACATGAGATGCCGGTGCGACCAGCCTCAGTGTCGCGCCCTTCTTCAGACGTTCAGATTTTCCTGAGCAGGTTCGAGAGCGACCTTTAGAGGTCCAAGCGCAACGTGCACTCCCAGCGCTTGGAACGGAATGAGTTTCGCATATATTTGCAGTTTGATTCCAACACACCCTCAGCATACCACGGACTACGCCGTGTTTGGACCCGCATAAGGTCTTTCCGAGTGGTTGGTGCACCATGTTTCCAGGGGACGTCTCCCAGAAGTGACATCCACGTTTGCGGTCACAGCATCGTTGATCTACCCATCCTCTCCCGTCACGTGATGGGCGTAGTGTATGCGGATGAACGGTGCAGGAGTCGAGCTTTCTCTGCCCCGAGGTGAAGCATTCGTTGGAGCGTGAGATCTTGACGGCGGACGAGATGCAGGACTTCTTCATGAACGAGGAGACAACACCGCGGGCCTGGCCCCGATGGGTGGTGCAGAGCCGGCCCAGCCCGCCTTGTGGGTCTCCTGCTGGATTTTCCTCATCTGGCAAGCTTGGACTCTTGGATTTCGATAGAGTTGCCTTGAGGGAATGGGTCCTAGACCCTGGCGCTTTCCCCAGGACAAGCTATCCATCCTCCGTTTTGTTGACGGCCCTTGGTCCCGTGGCGAGTCCCAGGGGCCCGCGAAAACGACGAACAGGAACCCAGGAACTCCTTCCTCCAGTCGGCAGCGCGCCCAGAGGGGAAGTGAGAGGGGGCAGGCCTTCTCAGAAGGCTGGGAGGCCTTTCAGAAGTCTCCCAGCCTTCTGGGAAGCCGCCTATGTGTAGATAGATATGTATGTATGTATGTATGTATGTATGTATGTATGTATGTATGTATGTATGTATGTATGTATGTATGTATGTATGTATGTATGTATGTATGTATGTATGTATATATGTATATATGTATGTATGTGTATATATATATATATATAGTCGACAAGGTCTTAGGACAGCTTCTCAGAAGGCCGGAGTCCGCTCGAGCCTTCTGAGAAGGCCGACTAGACGTAAGAGTGATTTTTCGCCGGAGTGACCTTTGGTGCGGGCGCAATGTGTCCCCCGATCGCTGAGCGCGAAGCGTTGTTAGCAGCGGCTTGCGCGTCCAGGTTTGGCCACCCCGCGTCCCCCGTTAAGGCGCGCACCAAAAGTCACTCTTGCGCAGGGTCAATCTTGCGTGTAGTCGAGAAGGCCCGCGCCCTCTGACTTCCCTTCTGGGCTCGCCGCCGATCCAGAGCCCGCCTCCGCCAGTGCCGCTTGAGGAGCTCAGTTTGCCGGCCAGCCCCACCCCGCCCCGCCCCCGATCCGGGTGGTGCTGCCAGCGCCGCCCCGGTCTCCCAGGAGGCGCAGGCGCTTCCTCCGCCTACTCCGCCTCCTCCACCTCCTCCTACATCTTCCTCCATCCTTCTTTATCCTCCTCCTCCTCCGCCTCCTACTCCTTCTCCTTCTCCTCCTCCGGCTCCTCCTCCTCCTCCCCTCCCTCCTCGCCACCAGAGCCCCCCTCGCGAGGCCCAGAGGGTCCCAGGGGCCCCAGACTCTCGCGAGAAGGTGGAGACACCTCGGGCCTGGGACGCTTCCGACGACTCCTGGCCTATTTTGCCCAAACGGGCCCCAGGGGCCCCAGACTCTCGCGAGAAGGTGGAGACACCTCGGGCCTGGGACGCTTCCGACGACTCCTGGCCTATTTTGCCCAAACGGGCACTGGCCGTCGGTGGATGCCGGAATGTGGCCTCGCGTATTGGGGTTGTCTGTGAAGAGCCCAATGTGGCCACGAAGCGTGTGAGGGGTCCGCCGAAGTGGATGGGGGGACCGAAAGTGGCCTTGCCTACTGTGGTCTGCTGTGGAGATCATTGTGGGGCCACGCAGCGTGTGAGGGGTGTACCAGAATTGGCGGGGGGACCGTATGTGGCCTAGCCCGCATGGGAATTCGGTGGAGGGTTTTTTGGGGCCACGAAATGTGTGAGGCATGTGCGTTTGGCTTTGCATGCTGGGGTTGTCTGCGAGGGGTGTGCCGAAATGGGGGTCAACGTGTGAGGGGTGTGCCGAAACGGGCGAGGTGACCGCATGTGGCCATGCTCACTGGGGCTTCCAGTGGAGCTCCCTGTGGAACCACGGCGCGTATGAGAGGGGCGGCGAAGTGGGCGGGGGGAGCGCATGTTGCCTTTCCCACTTGGTGCCTGCGGCGGAGCTCCCTCTGTGGCCAGCGCTTATGTTTGCCTTGCATCCCGGGGCTGCTCCTGGAGCCCCTTACGTGGGCAGGGAGGCGGCGCGCCTTTCGGCATCGTGCACACGAGGGCTTTCTGTAGAGCATCTGGGGTCCACGACGCACGTGAGGGGTGTGCCGAGATCGGCGGGGGGCCCTTTTGGCCTTGCCTTCTGTGGAGCTCGTGGTTCATGCGGTTCCAAAAGGGACCCCAGGGGAAGGGACTTCTGAGACGGGCGATGACGGTGTCTCAAGTCCGTTCGGCTGCGCCGTCGAAAGGTCGCTGCACGACGCGTTCGCTCGCACTTGTCGAGGTCTCAAATGCAACGCCACGGTCTCAGGGGTCCCTTTCGCTGGCGTCCCATTTCGGAAGCGTCTCAGTGATGGGACCACGCATCGTGTGAGCGGCGTGCCGAAGTGGGCGGGGGGACCGCATGTGGCCTTGCCCCCTGGGGTCTCCGATGGCGCCCCTCCTGGGGCCACGAAGCGTTGTAGGAGTGTGCTGGAATGGGCGGGGGGGGCGCCTATGACCTTGCAGTCATTGGGGTTGTCTGTGGAGCTCCGTCTGGAGTCAGCAAACGTACGAGGGGTGTGCCGAAATGGGCGGGGGGGCCGCGTGTGGCCTTGCCCGCTGGGGCTTTCGGTGGAGTTCCCTATGGGACTACGGAGAGTATGAGGAGTGTGCCGACATGGGAGGAGGACACATCGGTGGGGCTTCCTGTGGGGCCACGAAGCATCCGATGGGTGTGCCGACATGGGCACGTGGATTGCAGAGGCAGGAGCGGGGGGAGGAGGAAGGAGGCAGGACGGAGTGAGGCGGGGCACAGCGGTCCTAAGGCGAGGAGAGGCGGGAAGAACTATGAGATCGAGGGGGGCGGCGACCAGGAGGAAAACGGATGTGCGGCACTGCTGGCTCAAAACGAGAACACCTCAGGATGGTCGGGAAACATTGCGCTCGCATAGTTGTTCGAAGATCTGCTCGGATTTCTTGGATCGGCGCTTGACTTCACCTGGCGGTGCCTCCCGCGCCGCCCCTGGCACGCTCCACGAGCCAGGAACGGATGGGCTAGCCCCGGTCCAAGCATTCCGCGCGCACCGCCCATAGCGTTAGGTCGGGCATGCCCCCCTACAGGAGGAATATGCAAACACAGGCAAACCATAATATTGGGACGATGTGTCGACTATTTGTTGTATTATTGTGCATTTCTGATGCAGAACAATGTTGTCCAACATCCGCCTGTAGTGTAGGGGGACATGCCCGACCTAACCATAGCGTAGGTTCTGAAGTTTGTTCTTTCGAGCAGCTTGTTTTTAAGAAATATTGCGGAGGCCCTACGGCCAGTGCCGCCGACCCTGAAGGCTGAGGCTGCCCTCCTCCTCCTCCTCCTCCTCCTCCTCCTCCTCCTCCTCCTCCTCCTCCTCTTCCTCCTCTTCCTCCTCAAGCCATGTGTGCTCAGGCCGCATTTTGCACCGCCCGAGCCGTCCCCAGTGCCTTCGCGCGGCGCTTGAGAAGCATTCTGCCGCCCTGAACGTCAACCGAAGCTGCGACACATACACACACATACACATATATATATATATATATATATATATATATATGTATATAGCATGGCACCCACCCGTGCATGGACCCGCTGCCGTGGCTGCGGCACATGCGAGTACAACGACAAGCTGGGCTCAATTTGCCGCAGCTGCCCGAAGTGCCACCGACGGATCAAACTCCAGCGAGGATCTCGTTCACGGTCCCCGCCGCGGTCCCCCGGACGCGTGAAGTTCGGCGGCGCAGAGACCATTCACTTGGAGGACCCTGGAACAGCCACGAATTCCAGGACAACGGGAGCCAAGATAAAGAGCTCCGTCGCCATCCACCTGCAGTCCGCCCTGGCTGTGGCCACCGACCCACAGCTGCAGGGCATCCTCCAGGCGCAGATCGTGAGAATCACTGCCGAGGGGTACGCAGGCGCAGGCATCACAAATGTCACCACCGTCGGGGCCATGAAGACAGCAGACGGGGCCTGGCGCGCCGCCGCAAACAGGCACAGTCACCTCGTAGCCAACGTGCTGAAGCTCAGGGAGAGTCTACGCACCGTGGAGGCCAAGGAGGCCGAGGCGGCGACGACGTTGGCGAGAGCAGAGGAGCAGAGGCCACCAAGACGAAGGCAGCCAACGCCTTAGCCCACGTCGAGGGCGTCGGCCAGGCCGATTCGCGAGACGGAAAGGGCGAGGCTGGCACCGTGTTCTCTGCCACCTTGGGCGCTCAGCTGTTCGCCGAGACCGAGGAGCTCGACCTGGATGAGGCCGACCGCATGGAGCTCACCAGCGTCAGGCACGCGCTGGAGGGGCTCAAGAAGCATTTGATGATAATGAGCCGCACACGCAGGAGCGAGCTCATCAAGCGCGCCCACGCGGTGCGCAAGCAGCAGCAGGAGAGGCTCGCCAATAAGCGCAATGGCGCCGACGGCACCACCGCGACGGCGCAGCAGGGGGCCTCCGCGGCAGGCGCGGCAGGGGCCGCCACCGCCAGCGCGGCCGAGGGCCAGGCGCAGGCGGACGGCCCCACCGCCCCCGCCACGGACCCCGCGACAGCGGCGGAGCACGAGGCCACCATCCAGAAGGAGGCGCAGCGGATCCCCACCGCCAAGTTCGCAGCCCAGGAGGCAGCCACGGCAGCCGAGGCCAAGGGCAAGGGCGTAGCGGGCGCGGTTGAGGCGCCGCCGCCGCCAGCTGCGGGAGGCCAGCCAGCTGGGGCAGCCGCTGGCAGCGCAGCCGCCGCATCCCATTGACCAGGGACTACGGCAGAACTGCCCGAGGAGGCTGGCGCCGTCCAGACCTCCGCCATCCTCCACAGTAACATCACGCGCATGGGTGACAAGGCGCGGGATTACCTTCTCACCCAGTCCACGTAGGACTGTTTCTGCCTCGCAGAGACGCGCGTCGGACCCTCTGACTTGGGCAGATGGTCAGGCAACGCCCGAGGACATTCTTTCATGTTGTTTCACAACGCCGCTCGCCCTTCCAATGCCACGAGTCCTGGGGTACGACATGATTCAGTGGATGGATCGCAGCCAAATGGACACGCCAACGAAGGGGGCGAGTGGATTTTAGCCAGAGGGCGCCTCCAGGCGCATATCTGCCACGAGGGAACCCGATCTTCTGCGCCCAAGGACAGGCCTAGCAACAGCCTTCACGGTGTTGTTCCCAGCGCTCTGCATTTCAATGGATATGCAATGGTCGTAGTGGTCTTCTACAGACTCTGCAGCATGGGCCCCCCAGGCGCCAGTCCAGTCAGGCACGGGCACTTGGGGGGGCCCTTCGGGCACTGCGGCTCCCATGGGTTTTGGTGGGGGACTGGGGCGTGCCACCCCAGACTCTTCAGGCCTCGGGATTCCTAGAAGCCAGAGGCACATTTAAGTGCGCAGGCGTCGGGTACACTTGTGACCCAGGCGGAGGCAAGCCGGCGCCCCACCTGGATGACCCCGTTCACAGCCATGCCGCCCAGTCATACATACAGCAGGTAAGCCCTGTCCATGATGTACCGCGGCGGCCGCGCATCTCCCTGTCAATTCACTTTATTTCATCGGGGGGCAGCTCCTAACTCGGACCATGGAATTACCCCGTCGGCCGCCGAGCATGTTTCGGCCCAAGAGAGCCCCCGCCCCTGGATCAAAAGCGAGCGCGGCCAAGGCCCAGCGGGCTGAGAAGGCCGCCGAGGGGTAGGGGCTTCGGGTCAGAACTGCCCAAGCCGTCTTGGGAGATTTAATGGGCGAGGCCGGCGACGCCGAGTCCACGGATGCAGGGGGCTCGTCAGACGAGGACCCCCCCCATCCAGGCCACGAATCTGAAGGTGGGGAGGAGGGTCCTTGGGCCAGCGAGACCGGTTTCAGGCCTGCTGCCAACGTTGCAGCAGCGACCCCAGCGCCCGCAGTCCTGCCAGTCGAGGCTTCCGCGAGCAACGGGAAAACAGAGCCCCGCGGACCTCCGAACAGCCCCCCCCCGCTCTTCTAATTCGGCCCAGCGTGGGAACCCCCCACACACACGCACACGCACCTGCCAATGCCCAATGGGGAGGGGCCCGCGCGCGCCAGCCTGACCTCGGACAGGGGCCAGCAGACAGCGGAGGGGACCTCCGCCCATGCCAGACAGCAGCCGTCGTTTTATCCCGGGCGGCCCCTGGGGCGAGCGCGACCTCCGCTCTTGCCAGACAGCAGCCGTCGTTTTATCCCGAGCGGCCCTTGGGGCGAGCGCCGTGCTCAAAGGGGGGTGCTCAGACCCTGATGCTGCTGCCCTGCTGCTGCCGTCGCTCAATGTTTAGCCATTTCTCTCAGGCCTGGTGCCGCGCTCGCCCTCGGTCAGCTTAGCGGCGCGTGGATCACTGCGGCGGAGGCCGCCATCCTCAGCCGCCACCAGCAGGACCTCCCTTGGCGCTCACGAGCAGAGGGCCCCGAGTTTCATATCGCGACGGCGCGGGGGGGCCAGGCCAAACGGGCCGCCGCGCTCCGTGATTCGAGCGGCTCGCGGTGGACACGGTTGCGCGCCGCGCTGCAGCGCATCTACCGCCATCGAGCTCGCGGCGACGGTAAGCGCCAGCTTCAACAGCTACATGAGGCAGTGGGCCGCCGACTACAGGAAGCCCCCGCGTGGGCGGGCGCCATCATCAGGACAATGGGCGACACGCCATGGACGAAAGGGCTGGAGCTACTCGGCCGCGCCCGCGCCGCCCCCGTCGAGTCGCTGGTCGACTACTTAGGTGCGGGATGGGCTCCTCGCCCGACGCGCACAGCGGAGGGCAGTCAGCAAGTCTCCATTTGAATTGCGTGAGTGGGCTATCACTGCCCCAGCGTTGAGCACGCTACATCGCGCGCTCAAGCCGGGGCCTCAACCAGCCGTGTCCATCCAGGCAGGCCACCGCGCACTCGTGCATCTCATGGGCCCGCTCGGCCACGAAGCTACCAGTCGGCATCAACTATGGGCTCCACCAGGGCAGGCCCTAGGAGGGCATCCCGACCTGTTCCAACAGATCATCGATCAGATTCAAGCTTAGAATCTCCCACCACTGTCAGGAGACGACGCGCGCCACGCCCTCAGACGGCAACGAGCACTCGCGGGCTTAGGCGCAGACCGCCTCAGCCCGCTGGACCTGCTGCGCTGCCGCAGGAGGCGCTGGAGGAGCTCGCATGCCTGTTCAGCATCATGGAGCAGCTGCAGATGTGGCCGCACCAGCCCCTGATGACGATCGTGGTCACGCGCGCAAGGAAGGACAACGGCCACCGCATCATCGGGCTGCTCCCCGAGAGCGCACGCTTCTGGCCCATGTGCCGCGAGGACGCTGCACGCGCATGGAACCAGGACTGCCGCGCCCCATGGGGCGCAGCGGTCCCGGGCAACTCCGCCCTGAGGGAGGCCTACGAGCGGGCCGTGCAGGAGGGGCTCACCGCCTTCGCGCGCGTGCCACAAGGGCACGGGTTCTTGGACATATCAGAGTTTTACGATTCCATCAGCTGGCGCGACCTGGGAGCAGAAGCCCGCGAGCTGGATTTCCCCGCCGAAGTCTTGGGCCTGGAGCTTCTCCAATGCATCGCCCCCGGGGTCTTCGCCCAGAGCGGCAGCTACACGCTGCCATGTCAGCCAACGCGGTCGGGAGTCCAAGGATTCAGATCAGGGGCGCGATTCGACAAGGTCATCACCTACAAGGCGATGCGACGGATTATTCAAGTTCGTGCGAGATGCTCCCATCGCATATGGGTGGGCCCCCCGAGCGCGTCTCCGCTCCGCCTCGCCTCCGCCCCCTGAGAGGCTCGGACTGGTTCCGTCCCGTGCCTCGGTCCCCCCCTGCCCTCCTAATTCAATCACGCAGGAGGGGCATGCAGGTGCTTCGCAGCGGTCCACGCGGCATGCGACGTCGCGTAAATCAGGAGGGGGAAGAACACACTGACACAATCCATCGTCGATTCCCAGGAAAATATTGGAAAATGTTGGCAGTGGGAGAGACGAAAACCCACAACATATAGGAAAACATGGGCAATCAGTAATCATGGGATTTGTTTGTGTGTGTTTATTTGTGTCCTTGGGCTCCTTTAGAAAAGTGCTCTGCGGAGAAGCACGCCTCCCCCCCCCTCCCCTGCCCGAAACGGCCGTTCTGCATGAGGCAGGGGTCCAGGCAGGCTCGGCGCGAGCAAGCCAGTTCCCAAGTGTGGTGCCCAAGGGGCCGTGCCTGCTGCATCGCACTGACTACTGTGGGGCTATGAAAAAGAGACACGTCTACTCTGGGGGGATATTAATCGACGGGTGGGCGACTAACCTTCCGACGGAGCTTGCCCATCCCCCCCCCCTCCTCCGCTTCCTCCTCCTCCTCTTCCAGCTCCCCCTCCTCCTCCTTCTCCTCCTTCACCTCCCCTTTTTTCTCCTCCTCCTTCTCCTCCTCCTCCTCCTCCTCCTCCTCCTCCTCCTCCTCCTCCTCCTCCTCCTCCTCCTCCTCCACCCCCCCCTTCCACCCATGCCGACAGCACGTGCCCAACCCCCCCCAATCGGATCCAAGGGGGGGGCGGGGGGGCGATTGTTGAAGCAAATACGACTGCCAGCCCAAAACGGCCGTTCTGATGGAGAGGTTCCGGTAAACTGGGCCCGAACGGCGATCCCCCGACCCAGTCTTCGGGCTTGGCCCTCCTCATCGGATCGATTGGATCCAACTCCGGGCCTGGCTCGTCCGCCGTGGCTTCTCTTGTCTGCCGCGCCCTCCTCGTCGTCCTCGTCCCCCTCCTCCTCCTGAGCCTCCTCCTCCTCCTCCTCCTCCTCCTCCTCCTCCTCCTCCTCCTCCTCCTCCTCCCCGTCTTCCTCCTCGCCATCTTCCTGATGGTCCCCCCTTCCTCGTCCTTCTCCTCTCGTCCGCGCGCTGGCCCAGCGCGGCCGAGTCCGACCCGCGCCGGCGCGGGGCAGAGACCGCGGCGTGCCTCGGCGCCCCGGCCTCGGGCCGATGTGTCCTCCCGCGGCTTCGCTCGGCCTCGTCCTCGTTCTCCTGGTCGTCCTTCCCTGACACCTCCTCCCTCTTCTCCTCGTTGCCCCCCTTGTCCTTCCTCATTCTCCTCGCGCCCTCCTCGTCCTCTTCGTCGTCCCTCCTCCTGCTCTCTCTTCTCCTCGCACTCCTCCTCATCCTTCTCGTCCTCATCACCCTCCCCCCCTTCTCGTCGCCATCATTCTCCCGCTCGCTCTCTGCACTCCGCCGTTTTCCACCCCCTCATGATCACGGTCCCACTTGTCAGGGTCTTCTCTTTCCTCCTCACATTTCCTCCCTCTTCGCTCCTCCTCGCTCTCCTGCTCCCCCGTGCTCCTTCGCCTCGACCCCTTCCCTTCCCCCCCCTGGTCCGAGAGGAGGCCGTCATGTACGAAAGGGTCGACTACTGGAACGTGATGTGAGGGACCCACACGCGCAAGTGTCGGATCGGACGTAGGGGGGGCGCCGAAGAAGGAGCCCTTCTCGTGGGGGGAGGGGCTCGGTGTTCCTTCATTGTCTCGCAGCTGTCGGGGGTGGACAGACCTCCTACCCTGACACGTCGATTAGTGAATCGGCCGTTTTCGGTTCGCGGGAGGGCGTCGCGGCCGTCAGTTTTTGCGGGTCCGGGTCCTTCGGCTTCGGTCCCAGGTCGTTTTCACTAAGGGGAGGTTTACTAAAGGGAGGTTTGTCCATCGCCGAAGCTTGCCCAAGGTATTCCTTTTGAGTTTTCGATTGGGGAGTCGAAGTTTAACTTACAGAAGCAAGGAGCCTCGCTCCTCACTGAGGGTTCCTTAGGTCAACGCCCCGACTGCGGGGTGTGCAAGGGAAGGGGGGGAGGGGGCGGGCGAACGAAATCTGCTGCCTGCAGCTGGTCTCGGCCTGGGCGCCCGGCGCCTGCCTCGATACGTGGATGCGTGGAAGCCGCGGGTCGGGAGGGGGAAAGCCACACAGACACGATTCGTCGTCGACTCCCAGGAGGAGTATGGGAAAACATGGGAAGTGAGGGGGAAGACGAAGCTCCAGAAGATCTCGGGAAATGTTGCGGATCCTGGGATTCGTGTGTATTGACTTATCCGTAAGGGCTTCGCCCCTGCCGCCGGCCCCCTCTCTCGGAGAATGGGCCATGGGAGAGCTAAGTCATGAGGCCTTGGCGCTGTCGTGAAGCAGTATCGAAACTTCATGCGAAGCCGATTCGCAATCAGCAAAACCAACTGATCACAAGAGGGGTTACCACACCTGGCGATTGGTAAGACGTGTATGGTTTACGGGCTTGGTTACCACACCTTGCGATTAAAGGGCCGAGGGAGTTCTCGCAGTTTGGGTTACCACGCCTTGCGATGGATGTGCGTGAAGGGTGGCACCGAATTTCAGAAATGTGGCAAATCCCCTGTGTTTTTGGACCCTGACCCCGCGGATCTGCGTGAGGGGTGGCACCGAATTTCAGAAATGTGGCAAATCCCCTGTGTTTTTGGACCCTGACCCCGCGGATCTGCGTGAGGGGTGGCGAATTTCTGAAATTGTGTTTTTGGACCCTGACCCCGCGGATCTGCGTGAGGGGTGGCACCGAATTTCAGAAATGTGGCAAATCCCGTGTGTTTTTGGACCCTGACCCCGCGGATCTGCGTGAGGGGTGGCACTGAATTTCAGAAATGTGGCAAATCCCTTGTGTTTTTGGACCCTGACCCCGCGGATCTGCGTGAGAGGTGGCACCGGATTTCAGAAATGTGGCAAATCCCATGTGTTTTTGGACCCTGACCCCGCGGATCTGCGTGAGGGGTGGCGCTGAATTTCAGAAATGTGGGAAATCCCCCTGACCCCGCGGATCTGCGTGAGGGGTGGCGCTGAATTTCAGAAAGGTGGCAAATCCCTTGTGTGTTTTTGACCCTGACCCCGCGGATCTGCGTGAGGGGTGGCACCGAATTTCAGAAATGTGGCACATCCCATGTGTCTTTGGACCCTGACCCCGCGGATCTGCGTGAGGGGTGGCACCGAATTTCAGAAATGTGGGAAATCCCCCTGACCCCGCGGATCTGCGTGAGGGGTGGCACCGAATTTCAGAAATGTGGCAAATCCCCTGTGTTTTTGGACCCTGACCCCGCGGATCTGCGTGAGGGGTGGCACCGAATTTCAGACATGTGGGAAATCCCTTGTGTTTTTGGACCCTGACCCCGCGGATCTGCGTGAGGGGTGTAGATTTCGAGCCCCCCCAGCAATTCAGACAACGCGCCCAGGAGACGCTAAAAATCTTGCTTGGGCCTCCCCCCCCCCTCGCGCGGTCAATCAACTAGTTACAGTAACCAGCAAGAAGCAGAACTGTAACACTGGAAACTACAAGCTACAAACCACGACTGGCACAGGAAACTGCGAATCACGGTCCTACAGCCTGGTGGCCCCACAAGGGGGCCGGCGGATTTGTCCTAGGGCCCCTTCAGATACGTGGAAGCCGTGAAGGGCCAGGACAAATGGCCGCGTCAGCCGATTCGCTACCTCCCACTTCACTACTACCTGCCGGCCCGCCGTGCTCCGAAATTCCGTCTGTAGAGCGCACCAGCATTCGGTAGCGACGGACAATCGATGACAAAGCGCCGACTCAGCATCGACTCAGCGTCGCTTCGTGTCGATTCGCGTGGGTCCGCGCTGGTTTCCAGAAGCCTTCGAGACGACGTGGGAGGCTCCCAGCAAGCCCACTGCTCTCCCCGGGGCCTCAGGCGGAGCGACACCCGATGGGCGTATGTTCCACCACCAGTACCATAGGCCATAGGTAGGACGGGGAAGTAGAGGATGGGGAGGTCCTCCTGCTCCTCCTCCTCCTCCTCCTCCTCCTCCTCCTCCTCCTCCTCCTCCTGTTCGTCCTCCTCCTGTTCCCCCCCCCTCCGTCTCCTCCTCCTCCTCCTCCTCCTCCTCCTCCTCCTACCTGGTGGAAGATCGGCCCATCACGACTACCTCATCCTCCCGGCGCCCGTCCAGCCCACCACCCCTCGGAGCCAGGCCTCTGTGGAGGAAGAGTCAGGCCCGGCGCGCCTCGCCGTGCCTCGGGGCGCCCGCCAGCCGAGCCCCTGCAAGGCGGGGTTTTGTGAACGGGGCGGCAGCTGAGGATAATCTACGGGCGAGTACGCCTAGGCCTCATACTCTGGGATATCGATCGAGGGATGGGCGACGAACCTGCCGACGGAGCTTGCCTCCTTCCCCTACTCCCCCTCCTCCCCCTCCTCCTCCTCCTCCTCCAACCCGCCCTCCATCCGTTCCGACAGCACGTGCCCAACTCCGCCAGCGGATCTAGGGGGGGGGCGATCATTGCCCCATCCAGAGTAGATGGGGTCGAAGAAAATGGGGTCGGAGGATGGAGCCGCATCGCCGATGCATCGGCGATGCGGCTCGATGTGGAGCCCGATTTGCTTCACGTCAACGTCGCGGTTGCATCGCCGACGTCGACGATGCATCGCCAGTGCATCGCCGATACATCGCCGACGCATCGTCAATGCATCGTCGATGTATCGGCGTTGCGGCGCGATCCCCGACACCATCTTTTCCGACTCCATCTAGGACACCATTTGGTGCGTGATTCATCGGGGCAACAAAATTCTGGGCGGGGGGGGTCACCTCGCACTTGTACGCGGCAAATCAATAGCCGAAAGCACAATTGACAACGCACCCTTAGCTACCACCCCGTTTGCACCCCCCGTTTGCAGTGGCTTGGACCCAGGTCCACTCTGACCCGATCGATACGTCCCGATTGATTCTGGCCGCCTCGATCTAATTTACTAGCCTGTGACACATCCCTACCCCCATGATTGACATCGCCTTACGTCGATGCCGAACTCAAGGATTTCCTTAGTTCCAGAGGGCGCATCGCTAAGATTGTCATCGCCTTTGAGCTTGTCAATCTTAGGGATCGGGATAACCGTGATCGGTGTGTAGTTTTGTATTCCCCCCCCCTGTCTCTCTCGTCGGGAAATACACTCTGCCCTCCTCCTCCTGCTCCTCCTCTTCATCGTCGTCGTTGCGCGGCGGGTGCCGCGGGTGAATCATTCTTTTCCGCTTGTGGTGGGGCCCCAGTCCGTCAATAAGGTCACTGGAGAAAATGATTAGGTCCGTCCCGTTGTTGGGGGGGATCCCAAAGACCCATCTTAATCACTTTGGATGGGACAATAATCGCCCCCCCCGTGAATCCGCTGGGGGGGTTGGGCACGAACGGTCGGCACAGGCGGAGGGGGGGGTTGAGGACGAGGAGGAGGAGGGGGAGGAGGATGGAGGAGGGGGAGGAGGATGGAGGGGGGCGGGATTGGGCAAGCTCAATCGGAAGGTTAATCAACCCCCACCCTTGATAAATACCCCATCCAGAGTAAGCTCGAGGCTGGTTGCCAGTTCGATCCCGGCCACGGCACTCCAGCGGCTGGCTTGGGGAGGGCGCCTCCCGCCCCCCGCCTGCTCGCCTCTGGGGGGGTATTGAAGGAACACCGCTGCAACGATGCATCGGCCATCTCGAAGCAGCGCGCTCCCCAAGGTCAACGTTTTCTTATTAGGCGTTTCGACATTGGGTGGAAGGGGGGGGGGAGGGGGGGTGTTTGGCTCCGGACCTCTGCTTACGTAGTTCGACTGTCTGCAAGAGTGCGTCCTGTGGGGGAGACTCCACCTGCTCGGAACAGGCGGCCAAAACAGCCAACATCTACTCCAGGGGGGGGGGAGGTGGGGGGGTTCGAGGGCCCGCGCTGATCGGCAAACCAATGAAAACAAAAAGATCACAAGTTTATCGTTTTCTAATTCATTGTTTTGCCGATCGGCGCGGCCCCCCGCACCCTCTCCCCCCCCCCCATGGAGTAAATTTTGAACCCTGCCTTTGGCGGGTGGCGTTTCCCCCGTAGGACGCACTGTTGCAAGCAGTCGCGCTAAGCAGAGGTCTGGAGCCCTCCCCCCCCCCCCTTCCGCCCAATGTCGAAACGCCGAAGAAGACAACGTTCACAATTGGAACCATCGACCCGTGTCCGTGTCGAATCCAGCCGTGACGACGAGGGCCCCCAGGAGGCCCCGAAAGGCGAAACCGAGCGAGGGGGATCGGTGTCGGCATGTTTTTCGCCTCCGTATCTTGCTTCTGCACACCTGGTTGTCAGCCACACGCGCCTCGGCGCGGTAGTCTTGTGGCGATGATGCTGAGATGCTTCTTGACAGCCACGCCGTTCCGCGCGCCTGCTTCTTTGCCAGGCACGCGCTTGCTTCAGCCCTGATTCCCAGAGAGTTTGTATCCGTCGAAGGCGCCTCCAGCGAGTCCCCGCTGCCCTCTCCCCGTGCTGTGGAAGCGCCTGTGCGGCGAAGCGTCGACCGAAAGTGCGGCCATCCTGGTGGAACGCATGTTCCCCGAGCTGTCAGGGTGCAGTGCGCGGCCCTCATGTCGGCCACCCGACGATGTGGACACGCTCATCACACAGATCGTGTCCCATGAAGCTCCACCCATTTGGGCACACCCCTCGCCCATTTGGGCACACCCGCCCATTTGGGCACACCCCTCGCACGGATCTCTACCGTTCGGCGACCCACGCAGGGGGGGCCCTTGCTCGATGCTCGTTCTCGATACAGCCAGACAGTCTGTCAGGATCCGTGCCTAGGCGGCACACGCATTGCAGATTACATCATGAGTATGTGTACCATGGCCCTCCAGCGTCAGGTGGGATTGTGTAGAAATCTGCTTACTCGTGCCCGACCCCGCCACGAGGCCCACAAGTTGGACGACCGGGAGGCCCACAATATGTCACACAAAGATACAGCAAGAGGCGCTAAAATGAGGAAGACTTTTGGTTCAGGAGGGGATCTGGCTACAGTGGAGACCTATGCCAATAAAGACCCTGCTTGCCTCCAGGGTGCCCTGGGTTTCTTGGGTTTCGATGGTTTTGCTGTGGAACGCGCGACTTTCCCACACCAAAAAGCAATGGACGTATTGGGGTCTCAGGGTTGGGTTTCTTGTGGAAGGTGTCTTGTGGACTGGCCTCCACTGTATGCGCAGTTCCTTCGATCGGGGTCGGGAAACCCGTTCGTGGTCGAGGCTCGCCGTGGCCTGAAGAGCCCTTTCGTTCCTCATTCAGCACCCTTTCTTGTAGCACGATGAATGCGTTTCCTATGGTAGCGCGATGTTCGGCATGTTTGCACCATGTTCGGTCATGGTCGTACCGTCGGGCGTTTCTGTATCTGCCGCCTCCTCCTGTCCTGCCTCATGGGCAGCCCCACCGACGGCCCAAATGCCAGCGTTCGCATGCGCCCACCGCACCCCTTTTGGCGCACCCCTCACACGCTTCGTCGCTCCATCGGGAGCCCCACCGAAGGCCCAAATGCCAGCGTTTGCATGCGCTCACGGCACCCATTCTGGACACCCTCACACGTTTCGTGGCCCCACAGGGAAGGGAGACCTACCGAACGCCCAACGGCCAGCGTTCGCATGCGCTTACCGCGCCCATTTTGGCACACCCATCACACTTTTCGTGGTCCGATAAGGAGCCCCACCGGAGGCCCCAGTGGCTTCGCTCGCACGCGCCCGCCGCACCCATTGTGGCACGCCCCTCACACGCTTCGTGGCGGTGCATACAACGGCGGTAGTCAGAACTGCATATGGTTGTGTCTTTCCCCCAGGCTAATTCACAACCTTCCTGCGGTGCTGGCTGTTCTGACTTTTCGTTCTGAAGAGACAGCGCCCCGCGTCATTCACTCCCTCCTTCCTTTTTCCTCCCGCTCCTCCTCCCTCCTCCATCAGTATCCGCATCATCATCATCATCATCATCATCATCATCATCATCATCATCATCATCATCATCAGCATCATCATCATCATCATCAGCATAATTGGCAGCATCATCACCATCATCATCACCATCATCATCATCGTCATCGTCATCATCATCACCAGCATCAGTGTCATCATCGTCACCATTGTCATCATCACCGTAACCATCAACATCACCAGTATCATTATTATCATGGCCGTCGTCATCACCATCATCGTCGTCACTCACTATCGCCGATAGCATCATCACCATCGACGTCATCATCCTCATCACCAGCATCATCAGCATCATCATCATCGCCATCAGCTTCGGCACACCCCTCACACGCTTCGTGGGCCCGCAGGGAGCTCCACCGAAGGCCCGAGCGGCTGCCATCGCACGCGCCCACTGCGCCCATGTCGGCACCCCCCTCATATGCTTCGTGGCCTTATAGGCAGTTCCACAGAAAGCCCCAGTGATTGCGCTCGTATGCGCCCGCCGCACCCATTTCGGCACGCCCTTTACACGCTTCGTGGCCGCAAGGGCAGCTCAACCGACGGCCCCAGTGGCTGCGTTCGCATGCGACCACCAATTCCTGCACACCCTTTACACGATTCGTTGCCCCACAGGGAGTTCCACCGACTCTCCAGTGGTTGCGTTCGCATGCGCCCGCCGCACCCTGTTAGGCACACCCCTCATACGCTTCGTTGGCCCCATCGGGAGCTTCACCGACTCACCCAGTGGCTGCGTTCGCATGCGCCCACCGCACACATGTTGGCACACCCCTCACAAGTTTCGTGGCCCCATCGGGAGCTTCACCGGCTCACCCAGTCGCTGCGTTCGCATGCGCCCACCGCACCTATTTCGGCACACGCCTTACACGGTTCGTGGCCCCATAGGCAGCTCACCGACGGCCCCAGCGGTTGTGTTCGCATGCGCCCGCCGCGCCCATGTTTGGCACGCTCCGCACACGTTTCGTGGCCCATAAGGAGCTCCACCGAAGACCCCAGTGGCTTCGTTCGCATGCGCCCACCGCACCCATGTTGGCACACCCCTCACACGTTTCGTGGCCTCAAAGGGGAGTCCCACCGACGGCCTTGGTGGCTGCGATCGCATGCGCCCATCGAACCCATGTTGACACACCCTTAACACGCTGTGGCCCCATAGGGAGCCCCACCGACGGCCCTGGTGGCTGCGTTCACATGCGCCCACCGCGCACAATTTTGGCACACCCTTCACACGCTCCGTGACCCCATAGTGAGCTCCACCGAAGGCCCCAGTGGCTGCGTTCGCATGCGCCCACCGCACACATGTTGGCACACCCCTCACAAGTTTCGTGGCCCCAAAAGGGAAGCCCCACCGACGGCCCCAATGGCTGCTTTCGCATGCGCCCGCCGCACGAGTTTGGGCACACTCGTCGCACGCTTCGTGGCCCTGTAGGGATCTCCTCCGACTGCGGTGCATACAACGACCGAACGGCGGTCGTCACAATTGCATATGATTGTGTTTCTCGCCAGGCTAATTTATCAGCATTCCCTGAACAGTGCTTTCGCTTTGGGGCTCTTACTTGGGTTTCGAAGGAATTGGATCGGGTGTCCAAGGATTCGCCACGTTCCGGTTTGTTGCCGCCCCCTTGCCACCCGGTGTTGTTTGTTGGGGGTTCCAGTGGTTGCGCCATGTTCTGGCCCGTCGCTGGCCGTTGCTGCTTGTTTGGGTGTCCTGACGGGTGCGCGCACTCGCTCTTTGAACAACGACCTCAGAGACCAGTGAGCATCACATAGCTTTCACATCCGCAGTGCCACGGCTCAGCTGTGCGATCGCCCTCCAGGCGATGAGGAGGTCTGGGGGACAGGAATCAACGTCTCATTCAATCGATCTCACGATCGATCTCACGATCGATCTCACTATCGATTTCACCATCGATTTTACGGTCGATCTCATGATCAAACTCAGTATCGATCTCAGGATCGATCACACCATCGGCCTCACTATTGATCTCACTATCGGTCTCACAATCGATCTTTCCATCGGTTCCAGTATCGATCCCGCACACCCCTCACCTTGGACTATTGCGGGTCCACGCTGGCGAACATATTAGAACCCTCTAGCGAAATAGCTGGATAAGTCCTCGATCCTCCAACGATCCCCAGGGGTGATTGCACTGCATCGTCTGGCAACCTCTCCTGTCCTGTACATCTCGGTCTTTTCTTATGCTCCGACGTGGGCTCGACGCGGATTCGACGAGGATGCGACACGGATTCGTCCTGGACTCGACGCGCTCAACATGGTATCGACGTGGATTCGACATTGTTAGTTGGCGCGATGGGACAGACGAGGCCCAAGGCTTCGTGGGTAGTCAAGAAGGGCCTCCGTTCCCTATTCCCAGGGTTCCTCATGAGAGCAGCTTGATTGCAATTAGGCGATCCCAGGGCAGAGCGCGTACTACGACGCCGATGACGCCGACGACGGCGGGTCTCTCGAAGCCCGCGCTGGAGGCGAGCGGGCCACCACTTCATGGGGCTCCATCTGTTCACCTGCAGTCGGGGCGCTGAAGAAGGAACCCTTTTCGTTGAGGAGGGGTTCCGTGCTCCTCAAGTTGTTTCACGGTTTGCCAATGGGTTTCCTAGTTTTCCATAGGGAAATCGAAGTTATTCTTTCTCTTCCTCCTCCTCCTCCTCCTCCTCAACCTCCTCCTCTTCCTCCTCCTCCCCCTCCTCTTCCTCCTCCTCCTCGCCCTCCTCCTCCTCGTCCCTCCTCCTCCTCCTCCTCCTCCTCCTCCTCCTCCTCCTCCCCCTCCTCCTCCTCCTCCTCCTCCTCCTCCTCCTCCTCCTCCTCCTCCGCCCCGACGGCACACCGATCCTGGCCAGGCCGAGCCGGGGGTGGTGCACACGACTCCTCGCCTAGGCCGGGAGGTCGGCGCACGCCGGTCCTGGGGCCGAGGAGGAAGGCGGAGGAGGGGGGGAGGGGAGGAACGGGGAGGAGGAGGAGGAGGAGGAGGAGGAGGAGGAGGGGGTCCGCAGCCATTTTGGTCCAAGTAATCCATTATTCGAGGTGGAGGAGGAGGACCAGGGCCCCCTGGTCATTTCTTTTCCCGCACGATCCACTCTCCTTGAGGCGGCGTTCAGTCGCCCTGAGAGCGTCTGTCCCCCATTCTTCACCATTCCTCCCTCCAGAGTTCCCCACGCGTGTGGGAGTCTATCCGCAGAGCCAGAGCTTCCGGATCGGACGACGCGATGGCGGGCAAAGGTAGTACCGTTCCTTCTCCTGCTGCTGCTGCAGCTACTCATTCCGAGGTGCCCCCCGCAGCTCCCCCACAGAAGGTCCGCAGGTGCGAAGCTGACGAGTACCTGTTGGACGACCACGACCTCGCACCGACCTTCCCAGAGCCCGAGCAGTCGATTCATAAACTCAGGGAGTATGTGGACACCACGAAGGAGGACATCATGCGTGCGTTCAACGGTGTCAAAGAGCAGTTCAACTCCGTCGGCACGACGGTGCAATCAGGTCTTGAGTCTTTGGCTTCACGGATTGAGAGACGTATTGGTCTGGTCGAGTCACGTCAAGATCGGATGGAACTCCACGTCCGCGGTTTGGAAGAAAAGATCAAGAGACTTGAGTCAACCCTTGGCATCATGGCAGTCGAGAAACCCAGAATTCAGGTCGAGACGGGCTTCAACAGAGAGCCCAACCCCACCATCGTTGTTGCGCGCTGCCGCAACATGGTCACCAAGAGCAGGTCGCGGAGTCCATCAAAGATTGGGTCCAGGACGCGAAGCTCGAATCTATCGAGATCATTGGCGGCCCCGTGGCCAGGAAGTTCGACATCCACTTCGCTGGTTGTGTCCAAGTCACAGCTCGTCGTGTCTCACGTGCATTATTCAGCTTCAAGAAAGGACCCAATGAATGGCGGCGCTTCGAGGTTAAGGACACGGAGGGGATCACACAATAATTACACAGTGGGGCCGACAACTCCCCAGTTCATATTTGGATGGAGATCGCCCTCAAAGCGGTCAAGAAAGCACTACTTCGTGAACGCCCGTCGCTCGAGCTGTTCATCAACAAACACAAGGGCGAGATTTCATACAGGTGGAAGCCGATCGTCCGTCTCACTGTACATCAGGATGCTGATGCCCGCGTCGAGTACGCCAACGCCCACCTGGCGGGCTCAACCTGGACCGCGCCAAGATCGAGGCTGTCATCGCCACGGCCCTCGTCGGCAGGGAGACGGCCAGCACGTGGTGGAGTCTTTAGCGCAGTTCGTCGAGCATGGTCTGGGAGCCCCTCCAGCCGCCCACCTTCCTCTTCCACCTCTGGCCCCTGTTCGCCCGCTTTGCCCACTTCGTCTACATTCGCGGCGCCGGGCCCCCGATCCTCGGCTACTCCGCCCTCTCCTCATTCCTCGTCTGCGTCGAGTTCGGCTAATCTCCCTTCTTCTGCTTCACCCTTGGGCATCATGTCGGGGTCTTGGAATGCGAGAGCATTGTTTCATCTTAGATTTCGTTCCAGGCCAAGGAAACTTCAGCATCTACCAGGGCTTTTATCCAAGGGGGCTGTCGTCGAGGTCCAGGCAACCCACGGGTCGCAGGCCGAGTCAGGCGACTTCCTTTACCACCTCCACCGCCCCGTTCGAGCCTCTGCATCTTCCTTAGACGCGTCACCGCCCCACCCCGCTGGAGGCGCCGCCACCTCCTATCCAGATGTTGCGGTCATGCAAGGCCACCTGCGATAGCGGAGGAGGTCCTTGCGATGGGGAAGGGCGGTTCAAATGGAGTTCAGTCCCGAGGGGGGCGTTTCAGTTACCCATGATGACATTCACAATTTTGAGATTGTGGCCAGACCGAGGGACATGATCATCTCTGCCACTCTCTCCGACCGCGACGCTGCAGAGCATTCCCCGGGAAAGCTGCTGCTGACCGCGCGCGGGGATTTCAACATTGCGGCGGAGCCGCCTTCTGCGCAGTTGGAGGGCATCGCCCCGCAGCCCGACGCTCTTTTGCAGGAGGAAGTGAACAGGGGCGTATGCGGAGGAGGGGGAGGACTACAGGATGGGCCGCTCTTTTCGACAAGTCCATCGAGATCGATGGGGGCGATGGAACGCATCTCAATGCCACTCAGCGCACCTTGTCTCGCGTTGACAGGGCTTTCATCCGTGTGCCTGGCTGGGCCGCGGCCCAGGTCTCTGTCTCAAGTCGTGGTCGTGGGCCCCCTGAGATTCTCAGCGAGTTTGAAATCTCTGGTCTGTCGCAGGCGCTGGCGCAGGCAGACCGCCCAAACCCCCCTGTTCCTGGTCTGCTCGCGTTTCACAGGTCGCCGATGAAAGAAGCGGCTAGGACAGCGAGAGACACGCTTGCATTCAAGAAACTTGGCGACAAACTGCCTCTCTGCATCGCTTCCAGGTCCGCGGCCCGAGCTTTTTGGAAGCAGGACGCTGCGCTGGCAGAAGACTGCCGGGATCGGGGATCCAGATGGCATTATCGTTTTCCCGAATGAGCTCAACTACCGCTTGAGCCAGTCAGCTCGCGTACAGATCCAAACATAGACGCGAGACCCGTTTCCCGATAATGTGCAAGCCAAGCTCAGAAAGCAATTCCCCGGGCTCGAACGGCGGCGTCGATTGCGCCTCCCGTTTGGGAGGCAGATTTGTCTGAAGGGCACCCGGCTCCCTGGAGGTAGCGTGACCACCGACCCGAAACAATGTCTGACTGAGCCTGATTCTGATTGTTTTTTCGTGGGAAGGTTATTCGTTCGGACGCCGCCCAGATGTACCTGGGCCCGTTTGGCATCAAGCGCGATTTCTGACATCCGACCCCCTGATCATGCCCAAATCGGCGCCCTCTTCACGAAGCCCCCCAAGAGCGTTCCGGGCCCTGGTGGCCCCCTTACCCTGCTTGGGTTCACCATCCCAAAGGCCCAGAAGTTCTTGCGAGCGCTCTCCGCTGGATCCTCGAGGCGAACGGAATGCTCAATGATGTCCGAGGCGTGGTCACCGCCAAGGGTGAGGAGGTCGAGGATACTCCGACTTCGGTTGCCAGAGCCCTTGGGAACACGCGACCCCTGGGCCAGAAGAATGCTGACTGCAAGATCAGCACGAATGTTGCAGTCATAAGCCTCACCCCTGCAGCGCCCGAGGCAGTCGACCCCATCCAGCGCGGCATCGTGGCAGCGCGGCATCCAGCGAGGCCGCAACTTCGGCTTGAATGTGCTTGAATTGGATGCAGAAGCGAGAGTTGCGCGATTGAACCATGAGTTGATGGGTCGGTTGCCGCGCTTGGATTCTTGCGATGGCTCCCAGGCGTCCCCCTCCATGTCCCATCGGTGATGAGAGCTCGCTCCCCCCCCCTCTCCCCTGCTTCACCCTCTTCGCCTCATCTACTCCCATGTCTGCTGCTATGGATATCTTGGGTCACATGTTCAGTTCTGGTGTTAATTTATGTCATCTGGGATGATACAGGGATGTCCTGCGTCAGGGGTAATTTCTAGCTTAGCTTCCCACCCAGTCATGGTCCATTTTAGGCGTCTTGTGATCGAGCCAAAAAAGGGATTGGTTCGGGCTTGTGCGGATGACGTAGGGACTGTTACTTACTCGATTCAATCCCTGGCCCGCTTGCGCCGCCTCTTCAGAGCTTCTTGGGCGGTGGCAGGATCTTGCCTCAAGGCCACCAAATGTGTCGTCACGCCGCTGCCTGGCCCATGCGCTCCTGCACTCGTGGCCCAGATCGAGCGCTGGCTTGATGAGCACATCAGAGAGTGGGCCGACTGTAAAGTCCAACCCTCGTTTTTCTATCCCGGCTTAGTGCTAGGCCCTGCTGCCCGTGACAACTCATGGGGAGCACCGAGGGCCAAATGGCAATTTGGCACGACGCTGCTCGCTGGCGCCCGTGCCCCGCCGCACATTTCTGCTCGAAGTTACGGCATGCGAGCGTTCGCGACTCCTTCATGTGCGAGCCAATTTCACGTGCTGCCCGGGTGTCTACACCGCAGAGAGCATGCGCATCCCGCGGCCATTTATTCCGCCCCCCCTTTGTGCCTTGAGTTTCGCGGGCTTGCGGGCCTCTTGGCATCGAAGTCGCGGGGAGGCCCACGCTCCGCCAGCTCGAGAGCGAATTATCTAGCAGCGCTGATTTGCTTTGCTTTTGCCACTTTTCCCCAGTGGGCTGAGATCCACGACGGACTCGAGGCCGAAGCCACACTGCACCTCCCCTTTGTCAATGTACGGAGAGGAGACAGATCGCTTCCATTTTGGCAGGCACCGCCTACTGTGGCCACGCTCCGAGAGGCTTCCTTGAGTTTCCCTACCCATCCGAAGTGGCGGAAGGCAGGTGCGGAGGCCGTGGCGGAAGTTCAGCTCGCGGTTCAAGAGGGGGACTGTATGTTTCGAAAGCGGGCCGCCAAGGTTCTTCCTGGCGCACTGTACCCTGATCAACTCGAGCGCCTGTTTAGCGAGAGACTGTTAAAATACTTCCCCGGAAGACGCAGGACTGTCCAATCCATCCCTTGGACCAAAGTGCGTGCTGTCCTTGTCCATGTGCCTATCTCGTGGGCCAATGCCATCCTGAAGACTTTGTGTTGGGGTTGGACAGCGGTTTCGCGTTTCCACCATCCTGACCAAATATGTGCGATTGATTGTTTGTGCTGCCTAGGTTGTCAAACCCCTGAATCCCAGGCCCCCTTTTCTGATGTGTTCTAGATCCCGTGAGGCGCTATCATGCGCGATCCATTGCCCCATCCTCTCGACCCTTCTCCCGGTTACCCTCGTCCAGTTGTCGCAGCTTTCTCATGTCTATAATTTTGTCAGTAGACTTGCCAGGGATGCCCAAGGCGTCCCCCAGGGCGCCATCCAATCGGTTTTGCCGCAGGTGCGGGCCCAGGTCCGGCGGCTGCCGTGCTCTCCGTCATCATGATCATGAACTGGTGGCGTTTCAGGTACGTGCCAGCAGGAGGAGGAGGAGGGAAGAGGATGAGGAGGAAAGGGAGGAGAAAAGGAGGAGGAGGAGGAGGAGTAGGAGCAGGAGGAGGAGGACGAGGAAGAGGGGGCGGAGGGGGAGGAGGGGGGGGAGGAAGAGGGGGGGAGGAGGAATGGTGGCGGCCGAAAAGGGGGGGCGGGGCCCGGCCACGAACGGCTGTGGGCGCACGGTGGCCGTCCCTCCCTCGCCACCGCCGCGCCGCTGGTCTGCGCTTGCCTGCCTGCTGCCGGCGCGGCCACAGAAAAGAACGTCCCCTTCTCCTCGTCCGTCCTCTTCCTCCTCGTCCGTCCTCCCCCTCCTCCCCGTCCTCCTCCCTCTTTCCTCCTCCTTCTTCTCCTCCTCTTCCTCCTTCTCCTCTTCCTACGCCTCCTGTTCCTCCTCCTCCTCCTCCTCCTCCTCTTCCTCCTCCCCCTCTTCTTCCTCCTCCTCCTCCTCCTCTTCCTCCTCCTCCTCCTCCTCCTCCTCCTCTTCCTCCTCCCCCTCTTCCTCTTCCTCCTCCTCCTCCTCTTCCTCCTCCTCCTCCTCGTGATCCGTCGGAGTTTGTCGTCCTGCAGATCACTTCGCACCTCTCAGCAGAAGATGCGGCCAAGAAACATGTGGACAATTGGATGTTAATCGGAAATGCTGTTGCTGATGCGCTGGCAGATGGCGCAGCGGGAAGGCACAGGATCGCCCCAGCAGTTCGTGCACGCATCTTTGATTGTGAACGCAGGGTTGGACTTGTTCGGGGAAGGCTCTTACGGGCCACCTTTGATGCAGCTGCCGCTGAAAAAGCCGCCGAGCGTGAAGCCCGAATTGCAGTCGCCCGAGGTGATGCTGAGGCTCCCGTCCCTCCGCCTCCCCCGCCTCCTCCTATCAACCCTTTAGTAGCA